CCCGGGATCGAGTCCCACATCGGGCTCCCTGCTCAGCGGGGAGTCTGCTTCTCCCTCTGACCCTTTTCCCTCTCATGCTCTCTCTCATTCTCTCTCTCTCAAATAAATAAATAAATAAATAAAAATAATATTAGCTACAGCGTGTTAAATGTTGTAACAGATACCATGCTAAGCACCTTACAGTATTATTTCACTTGTTTTTCACAATAATTTTATGAGATTGATAATATTTCATCCCAGTTTTTGCTAAGGTAGAAACTGATAACTAGAGAAGTTTTACTGACTCACTGTCAAAAAGCTAATCAAATGGCTGTGCAGGGACTCATATCTACATCTGTCCTACTCCAAAACCTGTTTTCAACCCTGTATTCCAGTCCTTCCAGTTTAGCTCCGCCAATATCATGAAAATCTCAAAACGTTCCAATTTATTTTATTTAATTCCATAGGCTGGTGCTTAGAAGTGGTAGAGTGAGGGGCACCTGGGTGGTACAGTCAGTTAAACATTGGACTCTTGGTTTCCGCTTGGGTCGTGATCTCAAGGTCCTGAGATTGAGCCAACGTGGGTTGGGCTTCCACACCCAGCAGGGAGTCTGCTTAAGACTCTCTCTCCTGGGGCGCCTGGGTGGCTCAGTTGGTTAAGCATCTGCCTTCAGTTCAGGTCATGATCCCAGGGTCCTGGAATTGAGTCTCACATCAGGCTTGCGCTCTCTCTCTGTCAAATAAATACAATCTAAAAAAAACCCCAAAGGACTCTCTCTCCCTCTTCCTCTGCCCCTCCCCCTTAATAAAATCTTAGGGATGCCTGGGTGGCTCAGTCCGTTAAGCATCTGCCTTCACTCAGTCATGATCCCAGGGTCCTGGGATCGAGTCCTGCATTGGGCTCCTGGCTCAGCAGGAAGCCTCCTCCCTCTGCCTGCCGCTCCCCCTGCTTGTGTGCTCACGCTCTCTCTCTGTTAAATAAATAAAATCTATAAATAAGTAGCTAAATAAATAAATAAAAGAAGTGGTAGAGTGAGAAGGAAATCATGAGGAGAGCTTATTATTAGGCATAGTAACTCAAAATTATGTTGATGCACTGAAAAGAGTGGAGATTAGGTACAGAAGTAAAACCAGGAGGTGAGATTTGTAGCTGTTTGTTTCTTCATACAACAGGTAAAAACAAAGCAGGCCAATTTTAAATCTCCATTTATAGGGGCGCCTGGGTGGCTCAGTCATTAAGCGTCTGCCTTTGGCTCAGGTCATGATCCCAGGGTCTTGGGACCAAGCCCCGCATCGGGCTCCCTGCTCAGCGGAAAGCCTGCTTCTCCCTCTGCCAGTCCCCCTGCTTGTTCCCTCTCTCACTGTCTCTCTCTGTCAAATAAATAAATAAAATCTTTTAAAAAATCAAATCTCTATAGAAATCTTAAGTATGGATAGAGTCAACTTTTTCACAAGGTGCTTTCATAGGTGAATACTTACTGTTGGTTGATGCTTTGAAAACTTGAGGATATGTTACCTCTTCTTTTGAAACATTACTTTTGTCCATTGGCCTAGAGAAGTGTTTGAAACGTTAAGTGTGACCCATTAGTGCTTCATAAAATCAGTGTTACTGGGTTATGACCATCTTCTGTAATAGCACATAACTTTATCTCATTCTTTTCCATGGGTGTATAGTGTTCAATTGCATAAGTTTGTCATAATTTACTTAACTACTCTGATGTGTACCATTTGATGGTTTCTCGTTCTTTGTTATAAAGCTATAGAAAATATTATTGTCACATATTTTTGTATACTCATGAGTATATCCATAGGACATTGCTGATTCAAAGTGGAATTACTTTGAAGGTACACATTTAAATTTTTTCTAAATGTAATTTTATTTTTTTTTTAAGTAAGCTCTATACCCAACATGGGACTTGAACTCATGACCTGGAGATCAAGAGTCACATGCTCCACCAACTGAGCCAGCCAGTAGCCCCTAAATTTTTAATAATATTGCCAAATTGGACTTCAAAATGTGGTACTGATTTATCACAACCTATATATAAAAGTGCCTATTTCCTGGCACACCTGGGTGGCTGGGTCGGTTAAGCATCTGCCTTTGGCTCAGGTCATGATCCTGGGGCCCTGGAATTGAGTCCCACATCGGGGTCCTTGCTCAGCGAGGAGCCTGTTTCTCCCTCTGCTTGCCGCTCCCCTGCTTATATGCTCTCTCTCTCTGACGAATGAATGAATCAGATCTTTTTTTAAAAAATGCCTATTTCCGGGGCACCTGGGTGGCTCAGTCATTAAGTGTCTGCCTTTGGCTCAGGTCATGATCCCAGGGTCATGGGATCGAGCCCCGCATCGGGCTCCCTGCTTGGCGGGAAGCCTGCTTCTCCCTCTACCACGCCCCCTGCTTGTGTTCCTTCTCTTGGTGTGTCTCTCTCTGTCAAATAAATAAAATCTTAAAGAAAAAAAAAGCCTCTTTCCCCATGTCCTTGCTAATGCTATGCATTATTAGAATTTAGGCTTCTCGTGTTTTTTTTTTTTGTTTTAACTTTTTGTGATCTGATAGGTGAAAAATTACAAAAGTCCACCTAGAGTTGAATTTTATTTTATTTTTATTTTTTAAAGATTTTATTTATTTGAAAGAGAGCATGCACACAAGCAGAGAGGGAGTGGCAGGCAGAGGGAGGTGGAGAAGCGGACTCCCCGCTGAGCAGGGAGCCTGATGTGGGGCTCTATCCCAGGACCCCGGAATCATTCAAAGACAGAGGCCTGACTGAGCCACCCAGGTGCCCCTAGAGTTGCATTTGAAAAATTAAATGAGAATGGGGTACCTGGCTGGCTCAGTTGGTAGAGCATGTGACTCTTGATCTCAGGATTATAAGTTTGAGCCCCACACTGGGTATAGAGATTACTTAAAAAGAAAATCTTAAAAAAATAAAAAAAAGAGAGGCACCCAGGTAGCTTAGTTAAGCGTCTGACTCTTGATTTTGGTTCATAGCATGATCTCAGGGTTGTGAGATTGAGCTCTGTATTGGGCTCTGCGTTGGGTGTGGAGCCTGCTTAAGATTCTCTTGCTCCCTCTGCCCCTTCCCCCCCTCAAAAAAAATAAAATTTAAATGAGACTGACCATGTTTTTATATATGTACTAGCTCTTTGTATTTTCAAATACAAATTGATTCTTGAGATTTCATGAATGGACGGCAGTATCAGTAAATATGACTTCAAAGCTGTGAAGAAATGGTGCTATAAACGTAAAGTGTCACTGAAATGACCACAGCTTGACAATCTCCTCTACTTCCCACCTTGACCCTTTATTCTCTTAATTTAAGGTGATCATGGAGCTCAGCTTGGCCTCCATGGAGCTGGTGGTGATGGAATACATGATGACACAGCAGGTGGAGAAGAAGGGGAAAACAGCCCAGATCCCCAGCCCCAAGCTGGTCGGAGGACCCGGCGGGAAGCCTGCACCTGCCCCTACTGTAAAGACAGTGAAGGAAGGTAAGTTGACCCAGCCAAGCCAGTCTCTTAAGAGTATAAAGGACAAAAATTAATGGATTTGGAGGTAAGCAGAAGAGGGTTAATTTTTTAACATTTAAGACTTGGCAGTGTTGCAAAGGGACCAGAGATAGTACAATACATTTGATTGGGTTATATTATAGGATTTTGGTTCCAGCTCTGATCCTTTCATCTACTCTAAGACCTTGGGCCTTAATAGGTGCCTGCCTTCTCCAGAGATAAGGTAATCACATGGAGCCAACTGGTCAAATGATTGTTACCATATGTCTGTTTTGAAATGGTTTTAACAAGGTTGCTTATAAAATAGTCTTGCAAAGAAAAAGAAACATACCTACTGTAATGATTTTTTACAGTGGCTGTGTGAGAATCATAAGGGTTTATAGAGTCTTATTTTCCCTCAAAATAGACAGAAATGCTTACTCCAGAAAGAAAATTCTTCCATCCTGGAATCTAATGTGTCCTACAGAACAAAGTTCTGGCAAATTTTTCTTATTGGTGGAATATTCAGTTTTATTCAGTATGATTTCTGGAGAGTTCCAAGTTATGTTCTTTTTCTTCAACTCACTGCTTTTGAAAGAGAATAGAAAGTCATACAGATTTTTTTAATGCCTTTGGAAATAAAATCTGTTAAAGTTTTGTCCCAACAAAAATAAGTACAAAGATACAAAAATAAGAAAAGCAACAAAACTAAATATAATTTGAGTTCTTTATAGGTTAACCTACATTACAGGAAAAATCTAAATCAGAAGCACTGAGGGGTACCTGACTGGCTCAGTCAGTGGAGTATGTGACTCCTGATCATGGGGTTGTAAGTCCGAGTCCCATGTTGGGTGTAGAGATTCTTAAAAATAATAAAATCTTAAAAAAAAAAAAAAAACATGAGTACAATAGAGTTTCCCTCTAACAAAACTTGGGGCGCCTGGGTGGTTCAGTTGTTAAGTGCCTGCCTTTGGCTTGGGTCATGATCCCAGGGTCCTGGGATCGAGCCCTGTGTCAGGCTCCCTGCTCTGTGGGAAGCCTGCTTCTCCCTCTACCCCTGCTTGTGTTCCCTCTCTAACTGTCTCTCTCTCTGTCAAATATATAAATAAAATATTAAAAAAAAAGTGGATTTAAATTTTCAAAGGTAACTCTCTGATTTCCACCTATTTGTGATTTCATTTCCATTACAGTTTTTTTTCCCTCTGCTGTTAAAACCCAAGAAAAGTCCCTCTTGGAAATCTCCCCAGTGCCCACTAATGGATTACACATGGAACAAATTGGTTTGGCAAAAACATTTCAGAACTGATGCCTCAGAGGAGCTTAGGAACTGCTTCATATAGGGAATATATATATTTATTTATTTATTTTTATATCTACCTTGAATTAGTTAGGGTTTTTATTCCCCTGTTTTAATTTTTATCCAGCCCATCTTCCTCTGCTCTGAAGTCCCTGATAATGTAATCTTCACCATTTGGCTCTTGACCTTTATTTTAGGAAATAAGTTCATAGTTGTAAATTATTATGTTCTCTTTAACGTTCTCCATCAGGTGTTTAAATGGAGAGACCTTTTGCTCCGTAAGTAAGTTCCCAGCCAAAAATAGCACCATATTCACATTTCCCATGGAAAATGCTTGTATTGTGATTTAAAATTTGTGATAAATACAAGAAAATGCCTTACAGACCTCACAAGTGATCGTGAGAGCAATTAACCCTTCACACATCAAATATCAGAATGATTAAGGAAGGGCGCCTGGGTGGCTCAGTTGGTTAAGCGGCTGCCTTCGGCTCAGGTCATGATCCTGGAGTCTCAGGATCGAGTCCCACACTGGGCTCCCTGCTCAGTGGGGAGCCTGCTTCTCCCTCTGACCCTACCCCATCTCATGTGCTCTCTCTGTCATTCTGTCTCTCTCAAATAAATAAAATCTTGAAAAAAAAAAAAAGAATGATTAAGGAATAGAAAAACAAGAAAGAGTAAATACCCAGTAGAGAGGGAACTTAAAACTTGAATTTGGGGTATTAAGAATCAGAATCAACTAAAGATTTATCTTTTATTTAATTTTATTTACTTATTTAGAGAGTGTGAGCGGGGGTAGGGGCAGAGGGAGAGGGAGAATTTCAAGCAGACGCCACGCTCAGTGCAGAGCCCAATACGGGATTTGATCTCACAACCCCAAGATCATGACCGGAACGTAATCAAGAGTCAGATGCTTAACTGACTGAGCCACCCAGGCACCCCTAAAAATTTATCTTTTGGTACTAAAGAGAAATCTGTACTTCTTCTTCTTCTTTTTTTTTTTCTTTAAGTAAACTCTGCCCCCAGTATGAGGCTTGAACTCATGACCCCAGGATCAAGAGTTGCATGCTCTACTGACTGAGCCAGCCAAGTGCCCCAAGAGAAGCCTTTTTTTAAAATAAAAATTTGGGTTAGTTTTGAGTGGGTCAGGTAATAACTGCTGACACTGAGGTTCTTTAATTTTTGTCTCTAGAATGCATGATGAATAGTTGTGTTCTTATTTTCAGGGGCTCTGGGGACCCTGGCAAAAAGAAACAGCACATTTGCCACATCCAAGGTTGTGGCAAAGTATATGGCAAGACTTCACACCTACGGGCACACTTGCGCTGGCATACAGGCGAGAGGCCATTCATGTGTACCTGGTCATACTGTGGGAAACGCTTTACACGTTCGGATGAGCTACAGAGACACAAACGCACACATACAGGTGAGGAGCAGCCTGGGGAAGAGAGAAACAGTAATAGAATAGAAAGACACAAAATATATCTATGAAATAATTAAATTTCCGAGCAACTTAAGTTTGAAAGTGAATGTATAGAATATAAATGGAATTGGAGTTAATCTGGAAAAGCTTTCAGAAGGAAGGAGCTAGGTTTTCAGTGGGATTTTAAAGGAGGACCATGGCCCATTATTCTTCTTAGTCTCAGTCCTGCCTTTTCTGCTATAGTCCTTCCTTTCTGAGTACTCCTTGAGCTTTACCTATTTTTCTCCACCTTCCAAAGAAAAAGATACTCAGCAGACTTTTGTTTTTATCACCTTCTAAGAGTGCCTAATAGTCTAATATAGTTTGAAAACAGTGAATTGGACAAGATAACCCTGCTTCCTAAGATGTCCGTATCTCATCCTCGTTCTCTTCTTTTACTAAGGTGAGAAGAAATTTGCCTGCCCTGAGTGTCCCAAGCGCTTCATGAGGAGTGACCACCTGTCAAAGCATATCAAGACCCACCAGAATAAGAAGGGAGGCCCAGGTGTATCCCTGAGTGTGGGCACTTTGCCCCTGGACAGTGGGGCAGGTTCAGAAGGCAGCGGCACTGCCACCCCTTCAGCCCTTATTACCACCAATATGGTAGCCATGGAGGCCATCTGTCCGGAGGGTATTGCCCGTCTTGCCAACAGTGGCATCAACGTCATGCAGGTGGCGGATCTGCAGTCCATTAATATCAGTGGCAATGGCTTCTGAGATCAGGCACCCGGGGCCAGAGACATATGGGCCATACCCATCAACCCTGGGATGCAAGGTAGCATGGGTCCAAGAGACATGTGGGAGAGAGAGCCATGAGGCATTAAAATGCATGGTGGTGGGAAGAATTGGGGGAGGGATACAAGAGAAGAGATGGGGTCTTGGCACCCACCTATATCATCAGTACCTCCTTGAAGTGGGAAACATTAGTGAAAATTCTGTTGGTGCCACCCTTTGATGAGCATTTGTTTGACCCCAGTTTCTTATACTTCTTACCCCAGCCTCCCCTTCCTGCGTTTCCCTTCTCAGCTTCCCCATGATGGATCCCCCCTTTCCTAAAGCCATCATGCCTTGATAAATATATATGATCATTGAAATACTTTTTAACAAAAAACAGATTCTATATTATATATATATAAATATATATATATATATAAAAGATATATAGAGATGCATTTGCAGGGGTTGGCTGGGAGGAGGAAGGAGACCATTCTGTGACCAAAATACCTTGGTCATTTTTTTATATTGCCTTATTTCCCTATGGCTGAGCCTTGTTGTGACACATCAAGCTTTTCTATAGATGTTGTCTTGGCTTCCCACCAGATGAAGCATTCATATGCTCTGCTTTTAGTTTATATATACATACATAATGTTTTTCCTTTCTTAATTTTGTCTTTTTATTTGGGATCAGCTTCTTGCACTCCTTTCTTGACGCAACCTTTCTGTCTCCCTTTCTCTCACCTGATCACTTCATGTTTTGGTTTTGGTAATGATCCTTGGATGAGGCACTTCTGTCAATCTTTTAAGGTCCTTGGTCCCAGCAGCAGAATGGAGAGCCTTGAAGCCCAGGCTGATGCTTGAGGTAGCTGTGGAGAGAGTGTTCAAAATACTACTGACGCAGGCACCGTCTTGGCGCTGGAGAGTCCAAGGCACCTCTCGTCATTAGCTGCTTTAAGTATCAAGAGTCTTTCTATGGAATTGTACAAGAGACCCTTTAAAGGTTATAATCTGGGATCAGTTTATATAAACTGTCAAAAAGTGGTCAAGTAATAGGTAGGGACTTTCAATAGGAAAATGATGTGCCCAGAAGCGGAAGTGACTCATAGTAGTCCAGTTCAGGAGTTAGTGGAGTATTTGGACTTTTGTACAGTGTCTTCCAAAGTAGCTCTAAGCTTTGGTGTATGGGTTTCTGAGGTCACATTCTGCAAGGAAATGCACTTCCTCTTTTGAACATCCCTGGTAGTTTCTTTCTTATGTTGTTAAGGAGCATCAGCCAATGAATCTGTTCCCAGTTTCCATTCTGCAGAACTCCAGAGCATGTACTAGTGGCAAGGCAGTGGTTCCTTGATCTTTTCCCTTAACTCTTCCTTGGGTGGTTCCTAAGGGAAAAGGAAGCACACGATCATGGGAATGATAGCCCAGAACAAAAAGAAATCTTGTCTTACCACTGTGGTTTATAGGAGAGATCGGGAGATGCCATCCTGCTTTCTCCATGGCCTGATTCCTGAAGAGACTGATCCAAAAATTATAGCGGCAGGGAACTCTTAGTGCATTTGGCACTGAGATTTAAATGCAACCAGAGTTGTCCTCAAGGCCCAGCCATTAAAACGTTGTCTCTCTTGACCTTCTGGTATCTTGTCAGAGAGCTTTTCACTGTGAGGAAGTGTGGAAATGGCTGTGTGTATGTGTGTAATCTGTTAGGTTGGGGATAGGTTTTCTGTTAGCCTATACTAAAAGAGACCTGCAATAAAAAATTGCCCTGATCTGATAGAAAATGAAGTGTTTGTGTATGACTGTGTGTGTATGTGTGTTTGTGCCTGTATATATCTACACACAAATGAGAAATTATATTTGAAATTGTTGGAAAATAAATCAAATTCAGCTCAAAAATGCCTTTCAGGCCCATTACCTAGAAATCTATCTTAAAACCTGGGTATGTTCCTGAGGTCATTTCTTTGCTTATGCTAAATTAGTTACAATTAATGATGGGGGATATTCGACTGCACTTTTGAAGAAAAAACTATTTTTGTGTTTGAAAGAGAAACCAACATCCAGATCTATAGCAGAGTCCTAGTTTCTTTCATAAATCTTTTTACCTTGACTACAAATAGATGATGCTATGATTCTACTATATATTTTATATCAAATCTATCCAAATTAGGGTCTGGGTAATTTTGTGTTGTTGTTTAGCCAGAAATACAATAACTGTTGATATTCTAAACAGTAGTTCACTCCATTTGGTCCTTCCTCTGCAGACTTCATACACTCAGGAACTATTGCGAGGAACTTTCCCCAAATCAAATTCTGTTAATACTGAAGTAAAAGTCATCCATGCCCAGCCACTTATCACACACCCTTTATTCCCACTGAAAGGCAGAACTCAGAACCTGTTATTTTATGTCTGTAATCATGTACGTAGGCATCTTTTGGAGGAAAGGGGCAGGATAACTCACCAGAGTGTGTGGTATTTTGCTAGAGCATTTCAAGAAATGGAATCTTCCCCGCTATGAAATTATTTGATATAAACTAGCTTAATGATGCTGAGGACTACAAGTGTTTAGAAGGTTATTTGATGATGATTTTCTCTGGGATGAAATGCTGGTTTACCCTCAAGCCCCTTCATGAGCATTGTTAAAAGTGAATTCCTAGTCCGTTCCCTCCACTTGCCCTCTTTTTGCCAAGGAAGCTCCAAATGCAGTATCTTGTTTGGCGCCCAGACTGAAGCAGCTTCCGCTCCTGTCTTCCAGCAGCAGTACGCCGCTCAGTGTTTTCCATAGGGAGTTTAGGAGCCAGCAGTGCTTGAGTCATGAGCTCGTTACTGAAAATCCCTCTCCCTGAACATTTTGGCCAGCAGAAATTAATATAACTGACAGGCTTATTGATTCTAAAATTTTTTTCATGAGTTGCTTTTTTTATTTAAAATTTTTAAATGACCAAACCTGTGGGGCAGGGGATGCCCAGAGCAGTGGTGATATTAAAGCACCCATTCCCTTGTCCCTTCAGGTTGCCCATTCACATTCATCTGTGTACCATTTGACTGTCTCTTTTATAACCCAGGGCAGTAACAACCCACACCCATCTTCCTTCAGGGACCTCCCAGCTAGCACCCTGTTTGTGGGTGCTATGCAGAATGCCATTTAATGGGTATTTCTCAGCCTGATTCAGAATAAATAGAACCCTTGATCCCAGAAAGTATAGACTGAAGTGTGGGGTAAAGATTATGATTTGGGGAGGGTTAGAGACAAAAGCTGTAAATTACTATGGCTGATTGATTTATTTCTACTATATACATATATATATATATATTTTTTGCTTTTGTATATCCTATATAGGAAACTAAGCATTGTATTTTTTTAACAAATCTGAGAAAGCACTATGAACTGCAGATGTTTGACTTTCAGAATATATTTTGTATTGTTAATATCTTCACATTGTGTGAATACTGGAAGCTGCAGATCTTTGCTAGGACGCAATAAATTTATATACTTTTTGAGGGGTTCTTCGGGGGGTGTTAATCAGGCCCCTGTTACGCTTTGGGGGAGCCCTGGTGCTACTTGCTTAGAGTTTTCATTCAATTGTAAGTACCCTGATGCCTTTTGGACCTTGGGATCAGAGCAAACAATTTTTGGAGATCCCAGTACCGAGGAAATGCGGATAGTCTAGCTTCCTCAAGTGAGGGGCCCTTAGCGTAGCTCTCTTTCCCCCTATTCAAAGCTGGGTAACCTCTTGGGGTGGGGAAGAGAAATGTGAAATCTCAGAGTTTCATCTCCCTTAGAAGAGAGCCAGTAACTTAAATGCAAGGATAAAAGGTGGCAGCAGTAGTTTTGGGGAAAGGGAGGAGGATATGGCACTCCTCCAATCCCGGAAAACATGATTTTGAAACTGCTGATAAAACATGGGCAGGTTATTACTTTTGTTTGGGAGCCTGTGTTCTCTCTGGTGCCTCTCTTGGCTCTCCTCCTGGGGTACAGACCTCTTCTAGGAGGATGAGCAGACCAGCTTTGAGGTTGACCTGTTTCTTTTCTTTGTCTGCCTTCCCTAAACACCAGCCCCCAGGAGGACATTAAGCAGCCTTAAGCTTAAATTCCTACTCCCTCTTCCCAATTTGGCTCACTTGCCTTAAGAGTGAAGGCTGGGAAAGGGTAAAAAAGGGGAGTCCCTGGCTTCATTCCTCCCCGACGTCTTCTCCAGTTTGACTTCCCCAAACCCAGAAAGATTTCCTCTACCACCTTCATTTGAGAGAATTGAGTACATTGTCCCGTTTTCCTCTTTCCTTATTATCAAAGAGCCCCTAGCCTTTCTTGTCCCTTTTAAGTGAGAAGAGGTGTGGTGAACTGTCCCTCAACTCCCTTCAGTATCAAAAAAAAAAAAAAGCATAACAAATGGAGTTAAGCTGGGGTTGCAGGTAGTGAGGACTCTTGTTAATACCTCTCCTGGGGTGTGTGTTTTCCTCTGTCTCACCTTCAGGAATTACACTGTGCCTTCTCCACAGGGGAATGGGCTTTGTCGACCCAGCCCTCCACTTTCCCAGCAACTGCTCTTGAACAGTGTGGACAGGGCAGGTCTTCACCGTTTTCTCCCAGTGGCATCCCATAGCCCTCACCTGGAGTCTAGAGCACAAAGACTTTGGGGGAAGCTGGGGGAAATATGCTGAGATTGACCTGAGGAGACCCTTTTTACACACACCAATGGCAGCTGCCCCAGGGCCTGCTTCCTCTTACCCAGTCTGTCATCCTCAGAGGGAGGGGCAGTGCTCCAGTCTCTGGTGCCTAAAACAAGTTTATTTCTCTTTCTCAACACTGGCGATAACCAGTCTCCATACCACTGTTGCCTTTTTAAACCTCTTAATATTCTCATGCTGTGTTTGTTGTTGATTCCAATCTGATTATCACCAGGGCCATGTGGGGAAATACTTTTAAATGCTCTCTCATCCTTCTTGCTCTTTCCCCCCCCTGATCTTGTGTATGTATGATGCTAATCTCTTGTCTTTCAGTTTCTTCCTGCTCTTTTGTATCTTCCTTTCTTGTCTCTCCCCCCTACCTTTTGTCTCTGGGTGTTTTGGGGCTTTTTTTTTTTTTTGGCCTTTTTGTACAAAGATTAGTTTCAATGTAGTCTGTAGCTCCTTTGTAAACCAATTAAAAAAAAGTTTTTTTTAATAAAAAGCCATGTCTCTGGTGTGTTGACAGGGTGGGAATGGGGAGAATATGGTTATAACTTCATTTACTGTACCCAACAAAGTTTTCCAGGTATACAGTTGTGCTCCCATACATGTTAGTCAGTGCAATTGCCCTACACTTAACTCCCAGGCAGACAGTTTCATGACCAGATCAGTGTGCCACGAGTACATAGAAATGTGGAGGACCAAGAGGAATGGGGCAGGCCCAACCTCTTTTTAAAAAAAATTTTTATAAGCTTTTTATTTTGGAATACTTTTAAAGGAAAGCTACAAAGAGTGCAGAGAGATTCCATATACTCCTTACCCAGTTTTTTTCCATTGTTAACATACTGTTGTGGTGTGTTGTCATACCTCAGAAACTGATTCTAGTACATTACATTAGCTAAACCCCAGGCTCTGTGGGTTTCACCAGCTTTTCCATTGATGTCCTCCTTCTGTTCCAGGATCCGTTCTGGGATGCTACATTGCATTTCATTGATATGTCTCCCCAGACACCTCTGGTCTGTGACAATTTCTTAGTCTTTTCTTATTTTTCATGACCTTGACAGTCTGGGAGTATTGGCCAAGTGTCTTGTAGAATATCCCCCAATCTGAATTTGTCTGAAGTTTTCGTCATTCGACTGAGCTTCCAGGTTTTTGGAAGAAATACCACACAGGTGAAACAGTGTGAGATGCCTTTCTCATTACATCCTCTCGGGTATACGGGAGCCACGTGACATTACCAATGCTAACCTTCATCACCCTAGTTAAGGTAGTGTTTGCCAGCTTTCTCCACTGTGTTTCCTTATTCTTGGGAAGCAAGTCAGTAAGTCTAGCACATCCTTACTGGAATTGGTGGGAATTTAAGTTTCCTTTCCTGATGGAAGTAACTACATAAGAGTATTTGGAATTCTGAGGAAATTGTCTCTTCTCACTCCGTTAATTTATATTAGTATGTACTCATGTATGTTTATTTTATACTTAGGTTATAATCCAGTTCTACATTATTTTCATTGCTCAAATTGTCCCAGCTCTGGGCATTGGGAGCTCTTTCAGGTAGGCTCCTGTGTCTCTTTGATACATCTACATCCTTTTCCTTTTTTGAACACTTTTTTAAAGAACTTTCCAATACACAAGATACTTCAGACTTAACCTTGTATTTTCCCAGCCCCAGCCCTAGAATCAGCCATTTCTCCAAGGAGCCTTTGTTCTTTTTATTGGAGAATGGTATTTAGAAACTTAAGATTTAGTCCCAACATATTTTACATTCAGTTAATAGCAGCCTGTGTCTAACGTGATTGAATCTGGATTATGGCCCCTTCAGAAACTGAAATTGAAGTTATTCTGACAGTCTTTCCAATTTCCCATCAGCCTATGGTTTCCCTTCCCTTCCTACCTATCCAAGAATCCTTAGTCACTTGTTTATACAGTGACTACCAGCATTCTCAATTACTTTGCTCATTTGACTCCCTTTGCTTTTCACTCAGCCATTGGATTTCCTTATTTAGCCATTAGCAATATAACATTTTAACATTTGGCTTTATTGGGGGGGTATTTTTTGGGGGGAGGAGTTGGGTGTTCCGGTTTTTCGTTTTGTTTGTTTTTGGTTTTGGTTTTGTAGCCCTAAATGGGCCTTTAATAGCTGTATCATCTATTCATTCAGTAAACATTTATTGGGCCCTTGCTGTGTCCTGGGTACTGAGCTAGGTTGAGGGTAAAAAATAAGACCGGTCCTGCCACCACATACTTCATAGTCTGGTCAGTGAGAGAGAGAATCATTAATTGCAGGCTTCCCAATCCTGATCCCATTTTTTAACAGATGCTTTACTTCCTATTTCATGGAGAGAATGTTTAAGCATGAATTTCCTCAAACTTCCCTCACCTCTCCCTACAAACAGCCATATATTCACCAATACTAGTTTACCTCCTTTTTTTTTTAAGATTTTATTTATTTGACAGCGAGAGAGGGAACACAAACAGAGGGAGTGGGAGAGGGAGAAGCAGGCCTCCCGCGGAGAAGGGAGCCCAATGCGGGGCTCCATCCCCAGACCCTGGGTCCCTGATCTGAGCAGAAGGCAGATGCCCAACGACTGAGCCACCCAGGCGCCCTCCTCCTCTTTTCTTGGGAGAGAATGCTGGCCTTTGGAAGGTCAGCCCTACTACCTGCTGTGCTCTTAACCTCATTTCCTCATTTGGATAGTATTTTCCCCTTTCATCTTCAGTTTCTCCTGGGTTCCCTTTTGTCTTCCTATAAGCATGTTAAAATCTCTCCCCATCCCTCTGCTTCCACTTCAAGCTTCAGATCTAGTTCTTCTCATTTCCAAAGTTAGTGAAAGTAGTTGACAATTTTTGTCTTCTTTTAGTGAGCCCCTCAGGCCACTTTGTTCAGCACCTATCATGTACGAAATTGTTTCTTACGAACATCAGCAATCTGGTTGCCAGCTCCGGTAGTCTTCCATTCATTTGCCTCTTAGACCTCCTGCAACCACGTACATCTTAGAGCTTTGTTCCCTTGGAGTGTGAGACTGATACTCCTGGTTCTCCTTCATAGCCACTTCTTCCTCTGTCCCTTAAATGTTGGTGTCCTTGTCTTGTGTCCTTTCCCTTACTCTACCTTTCACTCCCTTAAACAAGTTGCATTCACTCTTTAGCTATCCCAAATCTTAAGCCCTGCCTTTTCTCTCAACCTGGCACACTGCTTATGGGACATTTTCATCTGGATGTCCCACAGATAACTCAAAATCAACATGTAAGAAGGAGAAATGATCCTTTGTGTTCCCCATCTCACTGAACAGTATTACTACCCCTTGATCATTTATACTTGAAACCTCAGAATCATCTTTTTAATTCTCACTATCAAATACCCACATTCATTTGATTACCCAATCCTGTCAATATTACTAATACAACGTATCTCAACTTTTTCCCTTTTTATTTCCACTGTCCTAGTACTCACCATGGCTACTGCTCGGGTGTCATAACTGATCTCTCTGCTTCTAGTCTCCCCAAACCCTAGTCTTCCATCTTCCACATTGCCACCAAACCCCTCCCTAAAATCTTTTACTTTCAGGAAAAGTCTAGTCTCCTTGATATAGACCTGAAAAACCTTTCCAGTCTGGTCCCAGTCTGTCTCTAGGGTGATTTGCTCCTTCATATCTCATACCTCTTTCTCCTGCTTACTCCCCCCTTCCCCCAACACACACTTTATTTTTGATGCTCCCTTTGCCTATAATCGTCACCCTCCTTTTACTTGTTTTCAGTGTGTTTACCTTCAAGACAATTTGTCCCTTTCTCTTTGAAACCCTCTAGGTGCTTTGCTTCTATGCCCTGGACGGAATTAGCTTATTTGATCTTTCTGCT